GGGCAATCCTACTTCCGTAGTGATACTGCCTTGGAAACCCAAGGAGGGGTCGCTATGAGTCAGGGCTGACTCGACGGCACATAACAACAACAACATGGTTAGGAATAAGGGGCCCTGGTGGCGTAGTGCCTAAGGCATTTGACTGCTAACCAGGTATGTGCTACAACCTGTGTTGCATTGTGCAGTTTCCTGATGTTATTCTCAAATGTTCACTCAAAGATCAGATTGATAAAGATAAAACCCAAACCAAACTCCCTGCTGTGGAGTGGAATCCGACTCATAGCAACCCCTCCTTGGGTTTCCGAGGCAGTATTGCTATGGAAGTAGATTGCCCAACCTTCCTTCCAAGGAGTAGCTGGTGGGTTTGAACCACCATCCTTCTGGTTAGCAGTCAAATGCCTTCGGCACTACGCTTCCAGAGCTCCAACTGATAAAGAGATAATAAAAGCCAGTAATGATGAAAACTAAAAAAACAGTTCTACTTAACATCACAACTTAATGAAACCTGTCGTAAGTCGGGCTGACGGTAACCTGACCGTTTAAAACCAGACTATGCAGCAGCTCTGCCCCGTCAGCCTGTGTCTCGGCCCCGTGTCAGAGTGCAGCCAGGCCCCACAAGGCCTCCGACGGCTGGCTTTTCAGAAGCCAGGCTCCAGGCCTTCCTTCCAAGGTGCCTGGTGGCCTCCCCACCAGCCTTTCGGTGAGCACTGCCAGGGACTACAGAAAGTGCGTCGGGAGTAGGAAGGGTTCGGATCGGAAGAGCTAAGCATAGGAAACCTGAGTGCCCCTCGTGCCGTCGGCGCACGTCCGACTGCTCCGTCCCCCGTCAGGGAGCCTGTAAGCCAGTTCTTTGCAGGACGGCCCTGAAGAGCACCCAGTTCCCCAATGAGGACTTCACAACCCGGCCTCCTCGTTCCCAGGGCTCTGTGTGTTTGTGAGCCACGTACCTGGGCAATTCACATAATAAGGGATGGTGGCCCCTTGGCCGGTGCTGAGCCTCTGGGCCCAGCCTGGAATGTCCCCAATGGTGGCACAGCTTTGCCAGTGGCCAGCGAGCAGGCTCACACAGGACCATCAGCCGCGTGCTTCTAAACACGTGCACCCTAACTCTGCACTCACGGACCTGGGCGGGGAGCAGAGGAGTCCGCTCTCCTGACGGCTCCCAGGCCCGTGAAGAGGGCGTGTCCTCACACCTGCCAGCAACATCGCTCCCTCAGCTACACTCACTCAGTGCCGTAAGGCCAGCCACCTCTTCTCTGTTTCTTTCTTTTTTAAAATAATAAAATTATTTTTAATTTCATTGTGGTTTTTTGGTTCCCATTCAGCAATTTCTACTGAAGATTTTCAGTGACTTTGGTTACATTCCTCACAATGTTACACATTCTTAGAGCTTCTGTTCTGGTGGTTCTGTTTCCGTTCATCTAGTCTCCCTGCCTCCTGACTTTCTCAGCTTCGTTTAGTCATTATCAACTGTTTGGTCTCATAGGTGGTTTTTAAGAGAGCTCAGTACCAAATGGGGGTCTTTATTTTGGGAACCAAGATATTTAGCTGAAGGGCGACGTCATGGGCTGCTGTCTCTGTTTCACACGGGCACCAACACGTAGGCTTTTTCCCTCGGCAGTCCCGCCCCAGCCCTCAGTGCCTAGATTTCGCCAGCGAGAGCTCTGAGAGACGTCTGTAACAGCTAACACATGAAGAAGCAGGGCCTCAGAATCCACACACCCAAAGCCCAAGGAAATGTTAAAGCCAAATACACTGGAATAAACAAAGCAAACCCACACGGGACCCTGAACGGCTCTTGGAGTGAAAGAGTTGGGGGCACGGCTTGATGAAGGACGGGGCCTCTCAGGAGATGGGGGGCACAGCTTGATGAAGGACGCAGCTGCAGCAGACAGGAGACACTGTCAGGCAGCATCCTCTTTGCACCCTTGAGTGTCTACACACAGTCTCCATGAAGAGGCATCCAGGTGACCTTTGCTCTGACCTCCATACCTGTGGGGACTTGGGCTCTGCCAGTGACAGCAGCACAGGTGGCCAGGGGCAGAAGGGAGCCCAGAGAGTGCACAGAGCAGAGGAGCTCCACACTGCGGGGAAGCTGTTCTGCAAACTAGAGACGTATTGTCACGTGGAAACATACATGAGCAGACGTGGCATGGAGGAAAGACTACGACAATCTTAGCAGGACGGTGAGCGAGCTGGAGACGGATAGGGACAAGCCCCAGCCTGCACTCAGCTCTGCGGGCAAGACCGACTATCTTCAAACGTGGGAATGACATCAGCGCGGTGATCAGTGTGAGGACTTCGCAGTCCAGGGGACGGGGCTTCACTGGAGGATAGGAGCCACACAGTGCTCCGTCTGGGTCCCCACCTCCTCACAGCAGCCAATGACCAACATCTCCAGACAGAATCTGACCTTGTGGACACGTTCTCGTGGGAACTGGAACGTGATGCAGGGGCCTTTGTCACCGTTAAAAAGGAGAACAGACTGGTGAGAGGAAACAGTGCTTACAAATTAAAACTTCATAAACTACAGAGTGGAGTGGCTGGACCCAGGACAGAATGCCACCCCACAGCTGGGACCAGGGCATTGGCCGGTTAAGCCAAGGCTTCGCCCCTGAAATTAGTGCAGAAGGAGAGAAGGCTGAGAAGACCGCACAGCAGGGAGCCCACCCAAATCAGAGCGTTCCTTCAGCTGAACAAAGACTCACCTTTCCCTGAGAAACGTGGGCCGTGCGCCCGAGGCCACAACATTGCTCCAGACAGAGGCTACTGACTGGAGTGCGTCCCTTGAAAATGGCAGCTGGTCACCCTGGGAGCAAGCCTGCCCAGCAACTCAGGGCCACAAGGCCAGCTTCCCTGAGAGAGGCGGTAGACCTGAATAATAGGCATACTGTGCTCTTAGCAAGGAGCCCTGGTGGTAGGTTCAAACCCACCCACCGCTCAGCAGTCTACTTCCGTAAACATTTACCTCCTTGGAAACCCAAAGCGGGTCATTGAGCATCAACTCGATGGCAGTGAGTTTGGTTTTTGGTTTTTATCCTCTTAGATGGAAGGAGTGTGTGTGTGTGTGTGTGTTTGTGGTGTGATTTGGGTGAAAGCTTACCGAGCAAATTCCTTTTCCATTCAACAGTTCATACACGTTTTCCTTTGTAACACTGATTACAGCCCCACAATGTAACAGCTCTCTTCCCACTTCCTCCCTGTGGTTCCCTGTTTCCCGTGTCCTCCTTTGCTATGCGTGCCTGCCCTCTGTGGAAGGATTCAATATTATGAAGATACTTGTTCTGCCTGTATCTAGAGACGTTCCATCAAAATCCCAGCAGGAGTTTTTCATAGAACTCAATCGGGTGGACAGAAAAATGCTCAAGTGTTGTCCAGACCAAGGAAGACGGTTTCACCCTGCTGACCATCAAAACATGTATTAAGCTCTGGTGCTTAAAACAGTGTGTTGCTGGC